GGATACCTATGGATCGAACAATATAAATCAGCTTTCTGCCTCTACTCATGTCATCGCAGAGAGTCAGAAAGAACAGAAGAAAGAAGGTGTTCTCTAAAATTTGAGTCCTCATCAATACCAGTAGCTGATGGCAATATTGTCTAACCACCTTACATCAGGCACCAGCATCAGTTCAAATGATGGACATGACAGCAACATTAACTCCTGTGTTGCAGGTAAATGTTCTTCCATATCCATGGAAACTAATCTATCATTCAATGATATTTGGATAATTGACTCTGGAGCAACTAAACATATATGTTCTACTGCAGCAGCCTTTACTTCGATGAGAATAATTGAAAATTCAATTGTTACCTTGGCAAACCACACACAGATATCAGTCCAAATGTGTGGTGATATTAAACTAAGTTCGAACATTATGTTGCGTGATGTTTTATTTGTGCCTCAGTTCAAGTTCAACCTCATCTCTGTTAGTGCCTTGACACTTGAATAACAACTCACCATTCGTTTCTTTGATGATCATTTCCTTATTCAGGAATTCAGAACCAGGAAGATGATTGGCAAGGGTGATCGGGTGTAGGATCTATATGTTATTGACATTAAATCTTTAAATTCTGTTTCAAATACTTATGTAAATCACGTATCTGTGCGTGTTTGGCACAATAGGCTAGGGCATCTGTCTTTCAAACGGTTGGATTGGTTAAAGGATCATTTACTTTGTGATGTTACAAAACTTAATAAAAATCTACCTTGTTACATATGTCCACTTGCTAAACAGAGGAGGCTGTCTTTCATTTCACACAATCATGTTTCTGCAAATCCTTTTGATCTTGTACATGTTGATATTTAGGGGCCATATCACGTCATTTCATCCAGGGGTTATAGGTTTTTCTTAACCTTGGTTGATGATTCATCTAGATTTACTTGGCTTTATCTATTAAAAAGCAAATCAGATGCAAACATTGTCATTCCCAGGTTCTTCAATATGGTGGAAACACAGTTCAATGCCAAAATTAAGATCCTAAGGTCAGACAATGCTCCTGAGTTGGCTCTCATAGAATTTTTAGCAGAAAAGGTACTTTACATCAATTTAGTTGCGTTGAACGACCACAACAGAATTCTGTAGTTGAGCGCAAACATCATCACCTATTAAATGTTGCTAGGGCCTTGTACTTTCAATCACGAGTACCATTACAATTCTGGACTGAGTGTGTATTAACAACCACTTTCCTTATCAATAGAACCCCTTCTCCTCTCCTAAAATATCGAACTCCGTTTGATTTACTTTACAAAAAGCCTGCAGACTATTCCTCATTAAGAGTTTTTGGTTGCTTGGCCTTCTCTTCTACTCTATCTGCTCACCGTAATAAATTCCAACCAAGAGCCACAACGTGTATTTCTAGGATATCCTCCTGGGGTTAAGGGTTACAAACTATATGATATCATCACCAAACAAATTTTCCTGTCTAGGGATGTTGTATTCCATGAACATATTTTCCCTTTTCATACAGTTCATAGCCCAGAACATCTCATTGATCCGTTTCCCAACCTGGTGTTGCCAAATCCCACCTTGACCTCTTCACAGCCTGTTGCTGATCGGAGGTTTCAGATTCTAGTGACCATGTCCTTGGTCTTAATTCTCCTATTCCTAATCTTTATGCTCATTCTTCATCTCAATCAAGACCTCGGGATTCTTTACAATCTATTGAGGATCATATTCCATTTCAGACAAACTCTCATGAATCTCAGTCTCTGGGTTTGCCTATTGCTGAAGCAACCTCTACCATCAACATCAGAAAGTCTCATAGAGTCCTTCAACCTCCTAAGTACCTTTAGGATTATCACTGCAATATGCTCTCGCACAATCCACAAACCCTTTCTCAGTCACCTCACCATATTACCAAATTTATGTCATACCAAAGGCTTTCACCCGTTCATAAAAATCTGGTATTAAACATCTCTTCCAACACTGAACCAAGCACTTTTCTTCAAGCTCAGAAATCTTCAGAATAGTGTGATGCCATGAAGCTAGAACTTGATGTAATGCAACAGAATCATACATAGTATGTGGTCCCTCTACCATCTGGTAAGCAATCTGTGGGTTGTAGATGGATTTACAAAATAAAGTATAGATCTGATGGCACAATTGAGAGACATAAGGCTCGACTAGTGGCAAAAGGGTACACTCAACAGGAGGGTCTCGACTACTTTGACACATTTTCTTCGGTAGCAAAGATTGTTACTGTCAAAGTTCTCCTTGCCCTTACAGCCATTCATAATTGGGATATGGTGCAACTCGACGTAAACAATGCCTTTTTGAATGGTGATTTGTTTGAGGAGGTATATAAGGATCTTCCTCCTGGTTATATTGTTCAGAAAAATGCTCAGCAATCAGGCAAGATGGTTTGTAAATTGCATAAGTCTATATATGGACTTAAGCAAGCTAGCAGGTAGAGGAATTTTAAATTTTCACAAGCACTTCTTCAATATGGTTTTACTCAGTTAAAGGCCGACTACTCTCTTTTCACTAAGGGTTCAGGAAATAATTTTGTGGCCTTATTGGTGTATGTGGATGACATAGTCATCATGGCCCAAATACATAGGTTATTGGAGCTCTTAAATCATTTCTTCAGTCACATTTTAAGCTAAAAGACCTAGGATGCTTGAAGTATTTCCTTAGGATTGAAGTTGCTCGGTCCAAGTCAGGGATCGTGATTTCTCAGAGGCATTATGCTCTGCAGTTACTGAGGATTTTTTGGGCTACTTAGATTGTAAACCAGTCAGCATTCCTATGGATCCTAAGTAGATCCTCTGTTTACATGAAGGTGACTTACTATCAGATTCCACTTCTTATAGAAAATTGGTGGGTAAATTGATATATCTGACTATCACTAGATCGGATATCACATATGCTGTCCACAAGTTAAGTCAATTTTTATCCTAGCCACACCTGCCACATATGAAGGCAGTACATCACCTCCTGCGTTACTTAAAGAATACTCCTGGTCAGGGGCTATTTTTTCCAGCTTCTTCTTCCTTCCCCATCAAGTTAAAGGCCTTCTCTGACTCTGATTGGGGCTCTTATATTGATACCGGAAAATCTACAACAGGTTTTTGTGTTTTTCTTGGTGATTCCTTAATTTCTTGGAAGGCCAAACGCCAAACCACTATGTCTCGTAGACGGAGTACAGAGCTTTCGCTGCTACCATCAGTGAACTCATTTGGATATCTCAGTTGCTGAAGGATTTCCACTCTTCTCCATCCTCGCCTGCTATCCTGTTTTGTGATAATCAGGCAGCCATACAAATTGCCAACAATCCTACTTTCCATGAAAGGACTAAACACATCGAGATCGACTGCCATTTCATTAGGGACAAAGTTGCAGCAGGCTCTATCAAACTTCTTCCAATTCGTTCACAACACCAGCTTGCTGATGTATTTACCAAACCTCTTCAAGCTCCAGCTCTTGTCTCCTTATTGTCCAAGATGTCTGTTAAGGACATTCACAGTAAATCTTGAGGGGGGAATATCAGAATTATTTTCAATTAATATCAAGCTACAGCTCATTCAGCTCACTCTCAGCTCTCCGACTCTTTTTCTAGTTACTTCTGGATTCTTCTATTTTTCATTTAATTGTAATTTAGTTCAGTTAGTCAGATGGTTATAGTGTTAGTTCATTTTGGCGCCATTATCCTTTTATCTATTTATATGCTTACTGTATGCCTCAATTAATCAGTTGAATAAAATTCCATTTCTTTCTTCTCCATTGCCGTGATTCTGATATTGGAATTGCAAGACAACAGGAGGCTGAATCCAGAGCGGGTTCTGGTTTTCTATAATCGGAATTGCAAAAGGGGTTACATAAGGTTTTCATTTTCCAAGGGTAAAGGGCAACATGATCTTCTACTTCAATACAATGGATTTCGCAAACCTAATTTTCGATTTATCAAAACAAAAAAAAAAAATAATAATAATAATAAATTGAAAGTTGGTGGGTCACGTGACACGCTAAGACGCACCATGGATCCACCACTGATTATCGACCCCTCAACTTCCATCCAAATTTCTAAGTAATAGTTAAATCCCAAACCTCATTCTTCCAAAGAACAAAGTTTATGCCTAATGGGTGTGCCTATAAGAAGCAATGTTTTAAAAAGTGCGTCTAGGCTAGAAGCGTGACGAAAATGCTTCTCCTTGAGCCTAAACGGGAATTAAGCGGTCAATGACAATGTTGACCGCTTAATGTTAGGCGTGCCTCCGCCTAGTTTTTTTTTTTTTTTGTAGATGCACACCAAGAAAAGGAATAGACTTGACATAACAAGGATGTACAATCTTGTTTATGTCCAATTTAATGCAAGGTTGATGAACAAGAAAAAGAAGAATGCCAAAATAGAGACTTCACTAACAAGTATGCTACTAATGCACAATCTTGAATTGTAGAAGGTTGTGATGATGAGGGTGATGAGGAGAATGATATCTTACAACCTACAAGAGGTACAAGAAAGATCAAAATGAAATAAGGGAGTCCATGAATGATGATTTTGTATCGAACGATACGAAAGACGAATTAGATGAAGAAGATATTGAATTGGAGTCTGATAAAGAGCTATATTATATAAAATTTAAACTACAAGTTATCTACGTT